ACCCTAACAGCATAAGGCATCATCGTAATTAGCATGAATGACCCCTATGGTCCAAGTGTCAGCGAATGCTGAGGTTTCCAAAAATTGGCCACACAGGTGAGATGGTCATTTTCAAACATATTACCTTTGTTTCAAAGGTGAGTTCTTTTTGCACCTGATACAAAAAACTACTATTTCTTTGCTCACATATGGAACATCCCACTTCAAATAACCTCAAACTATGGAATTATGAGCCAGCCAAAACTTGTTTGTTCCATTTTTCCCTCTCAATATCTCACAAGGGAAGGACCCCCAATCGAAGTGGGCTTCCACACATGGTACATATCATTCTGCTGGTATCAGGGCAGTAGGCGCCAAGAAATGTACAAGTGTGGACGGATGGGTGGGTGGATAGCTGCGGAGACTATGGCGCAGGCGGTGAAGAGTTCGTTACTCTATAAAGCTAAACTTTGCATTTTTGCATATTGTATCTAGTGAATTTTCTCGATGAGGGTCTGCATGCTCAAGAATCGTCTGCGATTTCACAAAATACAATTTGCAAAAATACAAAGTTGGCTCTATAGGGACGCGAATTCTTTACCACTTGCGCCATAGTCTCTGCAGCTATCCACCCGCCCATCACTCCACACCTTTGTCCTTGGCTCCTCCTCACTTATAATGTGGAGTGGTCGTAGAGAACCGTCGCTCATAACTTCTCCCAGAAGATCGTTGAGCAGCTAAGGAAAACGGATCTGGTATCAGTGCTCCAAGATGAGCAGAATGGTATGCATTCGTGCAGAAGAAACCCCACTTCGACTGAGGGTCTTTTCCTCATCAGAAGAAAACCAATCAGGCTCAAATCAGTTTTCTGTGAATAATTCCCACGCTTAGATTATCGAATATATTATAATTATTCTTGTCGTCTTACCTCGCGATTCACGTAATAGCGCAGACTTAGCATGTCACCGTAGCCCAATACTTTCGCAGTATTTTTTATTTGCATAGGTAAGGAGAAACGACCCCTCTAAAAGAGATGTTTAAAATAAAATTCCTACTTTGTAAAGAATGTTAAGCAGTAGCAACGACATCAAAAGCGCAGATAGTTGAATAATTTGAAGGCAAGTTAATGGGGTGTCGCACAACCCCTAAGAAGGTGTAGCAGCCACAACTTTTCTACGGTTGTTCCACACCTCATTAGCTTATCTCCAAAGGGAATATTAAGGAACAAATTATATACAGATCGAAAGCCAAACTCTCGTCGCTTTTTCGGAAATGATAAGAGCTGAATGAATTCGTCTTCTTTCGTTTAAGCAATAGTGGAAGCACAAACACTGTAAGCGAAAAATAAAACAAACGAGATGCCTGGCTTCTAGTTCCATAGTTTGATGGTTATTTGAAGCAGGATCTGTGGTATGGATAAAATGGATAATTAGGAAGTGTGCCTTGGTTGAATATAGAGCGAGGTAGCTTCACTTTGAAATATAATTAACCACGTCTGAAAATAGCCACTTCACTTGAGTAGCCCAATATTGGGAATACACAGAATTCGCTAAAACTTGGCCCACAGTTGACGTAACAATTACGGACGTATTACTAATTATGCTTGATAGAGACTTTAAAGGCAGCGTCCAGGCAGATCCGAGCTCGACGACCACGCCCACTTCCCTCGGACGGCCAACCCTTATGAACGAAATCTCCTCAGCCTTGACGTGTTTTCACATGACCAACACAGTCGAACTTACAGCGTTTACCTGTTAATACTTGCTTTCGACAAGGATAACATCAGAAGCACTCGTCCGGGTTCTCCCAAAATAGCCCCAAAAGGTGGTTTTCTAAGAAATTCACGCTTTTTGAGCATATTCGGAATCAGCGCCATGGAAAGGCCTGGATAACATAAAAATATAGAAGTCGAGAATCTGCCTGGACGCTGCCTTTAAGTCTACGGCAGGCAAAAATGTGGCGGTGGGGGGGGGGGGGGGGGGGGGAGGTATTGAGACAGAACTCAAAGGGGTCGTATCCAGCGGTTGTGTGCCACACCTCTTGCTCGCCTGACCACACTTTGGAAAGCACAAGCAACTGCATATTTTTTTGAAATGCCTTCAGAAGGCTCCTGAATAGATCCCTCAACGTCGTTTTGCTGGACCATATTCATTTCACATCACCTCAGTTACGATTCGAGCCCTCAAAGAATTTGGAAAAATAAGCTTGCCATCGGATTTTGTGTGAACTGTATAAGTCATTGAGGTTTTCTTCTTTCAAGCGGAAGTTCAAGGGCAAATTGTCACTGTGATTTCATCTGTTTTTTGAAATCAGGTGGAGACATCCATTGACTTTGCACAAAATCTTTCATTAGTCCTTCAACAATGCATAACATTTCAGCACTTTGCCAGAGCAAGGGAATACTTTGATCTCAACTCTGAGTTCAATATCTACAAAACGGTTTTTTGAGGAATTTTGAAATTTTTTTCGATAAAAAAGCTGCATTATTGCATAGGTTCGGAATGACCACTACAGAATTTTCTTGCTGTTCATCTAGTAGATCTAATTTAATTAGTTTGAATACGATGACGAATTATTATTGATGCTGTTCCGCAGCATAAAGCAAGTAACTCAGCCAGCATTGACATTTTGACTCCCTGGCAGACAAATTTATAAGAAAAACGTTCAAAACCTCCTCTTGAAAATCGCTTCGCAGACTATGCTCAAATATGAGCGATTTCAGACAGTATTCCGTTCACGTCTCATATGGAAAGGCCACGGTGACCTTGAGTACTTCTCTTCTAGCAAACAGCTTTGATTCTGTCTGTTACAAATAGATTTGTTTTCAATGAGTACTAATAAACATCACTCGAAGCTAAGGTATTACATAAAGAAACCATCATGCTCCTTCATTTTAGCCCAAACAATAAGACATGCGATTTTCTGAAGAATGCTCAACAATTTATTATACTTCTATCTCATATACTCATTTAACTGTCAAAGGTTTTAGAGTATAAAAACACTCTCACTTATTACATTTTTATTTCCGCAGTGTAACTTGTTGATATGTACAAACTCACTATTTTTTTCTTTTTCTGGCCACTTTGAGTGGAATAAATAAATAATGAACAAAGACATAGACATACATGTACATAGACAAATAGTGAACTGTTCACCGTGACTGACAAATCTAAGTATAGCAGTAGACAGTCTGAAAACTTTTCAAGTTAGCGCGCATAAAGTTGTGAAACCAGAGAAGGGTACTTAGCATCTTTCTTCTCCCTTCACTCTTTTACCTTTTCCATTTTTCAATTTAGCATGTTTTGTTCTACAAATTATTTTACCATTTAAACTCTTGTACACCAAACATACTCTTTACACTTCTTGAGCATAACGAGTTATCAGGGCTAAGAGCATCATGACACTCATTGCTTTCGGTTCCACTCTCCCACTTTTTGTCGCTCGACGGAAAATGTGAAGCTAATGATGTCAAACTTTTGCAGCATGAGTAATGCGTTCTTAACCTAAGTTGTAAGATTAAAGAGCTAAACCAATGAATAGTACCCTTTTGCTTCGCTATAAAAGGGAACGCTCACTTTGCCCTGCAGCAGGATAGATGGCCTACGAAAAGCAAATCATGGCGGCGGCAGCCGCTTGCTCTATTCTGGCTATGGCTGCATGTTTTGTTGTTATTTCCTCTCTATACGATGTAATTACAGAAGTTCACAGTATGGTAAGTATTTACTGTTTATTCTGAAACTAAAGGACTTGATTACGCTTTGAAAACATTGCGTGAGCAAATCTGACCTAATGCTTGGCATCATACCTGCAATCTATCTCATCCGGCCATCAGAGGCAGCATCCATCCAAAATCTTCGTCTTCCATGTTGTCATTCTGGGGCCTTTTCGTAGTCCTGAACAGACATGAGGTGCACAATGTGCCGATGTTCAAAATAAAAGTAGAGCATCGGACCAACGCAGGACCTGACCAGCACCCAGGGCCTTCCTGTAAACTAGGCTACTAATTGGGAAGCACAGGTTTTGCCTGAATCCTTCTTTTAATCCGCTTCAGAAGTGGCGATCGGGACGCCTTAGCTGCCAGAGTGCGCATTTCACACGCATCAAGACATAGGGTCCGGGTAGGGGAACGAAAGCCGCCAGTTTTGGGCCGCCTTCGCGGGCTGCTGGTCCTGAAACGACATGCAACAACGCTGCAAAAAGAGGGGTGGAGGACATTACGTCGCCGGATTTGGAAGAGTCCCGCGCGGATTCCTTGCAGGAACGCATGTCCTCGCATGTACAGGGGTGCGTATTTGTCGCAAATGACCGGGGGACCGCCCTTTTTTCGGCGACCTAATGTCCCCCACCCCAAAAAGAGCAGTTGGCCGCGAAAGACGTCTCAAACTGGCGGCTTTCGTTCCCCTACCCCATAGGGTCCCACAACAACTCTGCGTCATAACCTCGCCGGTAGGCGTTCATATTCAAATCGAGGCTTTATGTTATAGGCCGTTTTTGACATTTTCGTTTAGCACAAATATTTGAAATGGCACAGTCTATCTTAATCGCAGTGTCCCTGCTTGATTAGACATCCGCGTCGCGAGTGCCTCACGCGGCGTAGGCGAACGTTTGGACTGAGCAGTCAGTCCGTTGAAGTTCGAAAGGCGACGCGCTCAAGCTGCGGATGCGGTGCGGCCCAAAATGGACACAGCCGTTGAGACAAAGTGTTTAAGTGCTGCATATATGCAATATGATGTCACAAAAGTGCTATCTCTCCAAAGTCTATAAAAGCACAAATACTGACCTCTAGCCGCTTTGTAAGACTATTGGATTCGTATATAAGCTTGTTTAAACCTTGCCTCAAGTTTGTTCTATAGTCGTTACTTTCACCATAAAAGCATTAGCTAACACACGAAAATCAAATCAAGCTTCAAGCAAGCGAACAAGTTCGGATATGACTAAGCCTTTTTGTCAGATTTCCTTGCTGGGTTTAAAGTTACACTTCCCATCGCCCGCTCCTAACATACCGAGCACCCTCGTACGTCATGTACGACATGTACGCCGCGCACTCTGATTCTAACCATGGTAACAAAATGATTCAGGTATTCGATTCGGTGGCAGTGTTTCGTGTTGAGACCGATTCAGCATGGGCTGAGATGATGGACGTGCAAATAATGGTGTCACCGCCTGCCAAGCTACTATCAAGCCCATTCGAGTCATTCGTCAGAACGAAACGACAGTTCCTTGGTTTACCAGCTTGGTGCCATTGTGAACCAGAAATGATCACATGCCCACCTGGTCCGCCAGGTCCAGCCGGAGAGAAGGGTCAGCCAGGTATGCTTTAACTTACTCTGTGTCAAAGTTCAGTCATATCCCTTTTTTCAGGACCTCCCGGACCACCGGGACCCCCGGGGAAAGATGATATGACCATCTACGCTCCCATCCACTGCCCTCCGCCTGACCCCTCATGCATTCAATGTCCACCGGGACCACAAGGACCAAAGGGACCCGATGGAGCTCCTGGACACCCCGGCATGGATGGTCGTCCTGGTGTTCCCGGATCTCGCGGAGACAACGGTAAACCCGGCGATGCTGGACCACGCGGCGAACCAGGAATGCCTGGCTACAAAGGTATGGACGGCCGTCCTGGTTCCCCTGGGCAGGACGGCAGGAAAGGAACAGGGCAGCCTGGTATGCCCGGTCAACCCGGCCCACGAGGAGAAATGGGTAAACCTGGTGTTGCCGGTAAAGATGGAGCTCCTGGAGATAAAGGTCCTGTGGGAGCAGGTGGCCTTCCTGGCATGCCTGGTAACAAGGGAGCCGATGGACAAATGGGCGCAACTGGAGCACCAGGTCCAGCTGGTAAGGATGCGCACTACTGTCCTTGTCCGACCCGTGCTTCGGTGAAGAAAAGGAAGATCTAAGAATCAGCGCAACCAATTCCGGACATTCTGCTCAGCACAGTATCTCCTCATATGTCTGTATATCATTATGTGCCATTCTCAATGAAGATTACGAGAAAAAAATCGTGCTTAATCTGGTGACTGGTAAAACATTATATTATTGAACCATAGTTTTTTTTCTTGAAACTGACAGTTCATTGATGGTATTCAAGATAGACTATGAATTTATATATAGTCGAAGAACATTTTTCAGTATTTTTCACGTGGTAGACTCACTAACCAAAACATCCCCATCAGAGGTGTGATAGACAGAGCCGAGTCTCCGCCTATCTTCACTTTTGAGCTGGTACAGGTGACCACCTTCACTTTTAGGTTTGAAAAATTTGCTTTGCTTTTTGCCGAAGCTTAAAAGAAGGAAAACAAGCAAAAGGACGCAGAAAAAAGTATTGAGAGCATATATCTATGTAGTAGGTCGATCTAGGCAGTAACCGCCGAGAACCAGAATTTCGAATGATAAAATAGCGAAAAAAAATCATGCGAAATTTCCACAGTTATAAATCTGGTGGTTGAAGATGTCAGCAATTGCGACTTTATAGGTTTTGAAAGGCAAGTGTTGTTCTACCAGATAGCGAAGGAATTAGGTTGATCTGAGCAGTGGCCGTCGAGAATGAGAATTTCAAAGATTTAAACGATTTTAAGTCACTTAGTGACAGCTGACATTTAGACTCGTATAAATCTGGAATGTGAAAAAGTGCAATGTTGCTATTTCATAGGTTTTGTAGAGTAAGAACTGCTCTATCAAACAATGTCTTAGCCGTACCGATCCAACAAGATACCGCCGAGATTCAGGCTCTTAAAAACGGGTAAAAACCGTTTTTTAAACTTCAACAGCTCATAACTTCTTCAGAATTGCATGAATCATGTTGCGACTTCATAGGTTGGATTCTCCTTTTCAAGAGCTTTCAGATGATATAGAATATGTGGGGGTTTCAATGATTTTTGCGGCTCTAACCCAGGGTGGTCTTTTCACCCCAAAGTCTCCACTTCGCCCATGTTAATGTATTGGCCGGAGACCGCTAGTGGAGACTTCGGGGTGAAAAGTTTCCACCCACGGGCATATGCCATGAGAGGCGCGAAACCCCCACATGCTATATATCATCTGAAAGCTCTTGAAAAGGAGAATCCAACCTATGAAGTCCAACATGATTCATGCAATTCTGAAGAAGTTATAAGCTGTTGAATTTCAAGAAGCGGTTTTTTACCTGTTTTTTAAGAGCCTGGATCTCGGAGCAGTTTTAATGGTACGGCTAAGACATAGTCTAATAGTGCAAACCTTACTCTACAAAACCTATGAAGTTGCAACATTGCATAATTTCACATTCCAGATTTATAGGAGTCTAAACGTCAGCTGTCTGTCACTAAGTAACCTAAAATCGCTTAATTCTTTAAAATTCTCGTTCTCGGCGGCCACTGCTCAGATCGACCTAAATCTTTCACTATCTGGTAGAACAACATTTGCCCTTCAAAATTATGAAGTCGCAATTGCTGACATCTTCAACCACCAGATTTAAAACAGTGGAAATTTCGCATGATTTTTCGCTATTTTGTTATTCAAAATTCTGGTTCTCGGTGGTTACTGCCTGGATCGACCTACTTTCTTCGCAGTACGTTATAACAAAGTTTACTTAATAAAATACGAATAAAAAGAAGTTAACTTTTGAAAAAGACATTTTTTGCGAAAAGAGAACTCGAGCTGTGCTTCTTCCCCCCCCCCCCCACCCATCCTCCCCCGGTCGACGTTTTTGGGAAGTGAGTGTCCGGCGCTACCACCTTCACTTTTGGCCGGCCAGGGGTAGCTGGAACCACCTTCACTTTTGGGGGCCCGGCTCCACCTATCGCACCTCTGATCCCCATGAATGTGCTTCTTTGAACTTGGGGTAATCTACATGGGAGGCTCAAGCACGATAATCATGTTTGCTGTGCTTCGCCGACAGTATTTGCGGGTAAAAAAAATAAAGAATCGCTAAAGGGTGCCAGATTCAAAAGTGTGTGCTCGAAAAATTTTGCATGCGCGAATTGCTGTCGCGATAATACTTAATCCTTCTACCGACCAGACAAGTCGTGCACACATTTTATGCAATAGAACTAAAACAAATTAAACAACACCAGATGTAGACAGTGCAAATGGACACATTAGTGACCAAGATGACCAAGTAGATCAATGCGACTATTTCGATTATACCATTTGCATCAATAATGTTATTGTAAAATTGCTAATCAGAATTGTCTAAAAACAGCCAACATTTCTGCAAAACACCAACAACAAAAAAGTGGGCTTTCACTAAAAAAAACCTGTAGGATATCTAAAGCGGTGCCACTACTCAACATTCTTTGCGGAACTGGATGCGATTGTGTTCACTCTTGCAGATTTGGTAATGATTGCAGTGTCTCTGCGGTGACAACAACATTTGCGCGGGAACGAATGCTATGCTTATGAATGCGGACGACTTGCTTGCGATCTGCGCATGAAATTTGGCTTTGGAGCGTACCTTGTCATTGTTTACGTACAGATGTTGTAGGGGACGCAAGAACTTTTTTAGTTGAATAGTTTAACTGGCACTAGAATGCAAATTGACCGTAACATTCTGGACTGTGAGAGATTCAAGTACGCTTTGCATACAGTCTAAGCAAGTTTGATTGTGTGGTTAACGTTTATACTCGTGATCTACCTCAGCTAGCCTTATTTTCTAGTTAGTCCCAGGAAGGAACAGGTTCAAGCTTGTTTAGACAAGTGTGCGAAGCGTGCTGGAGTTTCCTAGTCTCTCAGAATATGCTCGAGTCATTTGTAACTTATTGCTAGTTTGATGTGAGAATGCACGCGTGCTCGGCAAGCGACGGCACTCTTACTAAACACTTCCAGGGGAACGGGAAGGAACATCGCCAGTTTGAGCCGCTTCTCGCGGCCTGGTCCTTTTGCAATGTTGCTGCACGTCGTTTCAAGACCAGTAATCCGCGCAGCCGGCTCAAACTGGCGGCCCTGCACACTTTTCAGTAAATCTACAGTCGAGTAGATTTAGCGGTAAATATAGTGTGCTTGCACAAAAGGTGAAATGCGGTGAAATTGGCGCGTGAAGAAATAGTTTCGACTGTGACGTCGGCCAATTGCGCGCGCAAGATACCCGCGGTACTGACGTGACTACTTGTTCACGCGCAAATTTCACCGCATTTCACCTTCTGTGCAAGCACACTATATTTACCGCTAAATCTACTCGACTGTACATTCTATAAAAGCAAAAGAGACATGTTAACTTTGCAGTTCGTCAGGTAGCGCGCATGGTGCGCAGTATACATTAAGTTACGAATGCTCGACGGTAAATGATAGTGAGTGAGGGACTGTGTGTGATAGTGTTTGATAACACCGTTACTGTAAATCAATAGCCGAAGCACGAAGAAGGATATCCCGTTGGTCTCAGCACGATGTACCGTACTGTTTTGCTGCAAATCGTGCCTACAGTAAGCACCCATTTTTTGGAATTTTCCTAATTGTTAGGCAAATTTTTTCAAAATACACTAAAACTACGCCATTCGCATGTGACGTGTTGGCCACAGAGGTTTGCAAATACGCAAGCTGTGCAAGTACTACGACCTTTGGGCGTTTGCTCATTTTCTGCATTGATAGCCTGCCGATCCATAAAAGGTCAGGAACACGCATTTAGGTCCGAAGAGTGCAATCGTACCGCCGTCGCTCGTAATTGCTACGGTTTGAATACCGCGATTTTCGCGCCATTCTCGCAACGTCCGTCCATTTACTGCACACAAAGAATTTGAAGGGCATTTTTCTCGCATTGACTTTTTCACTTGGGTTTCACGCTTTTTGCAAGTTTTACTTTTTGCTTTGAAAATCTACGGACTGCTAAGATTTGTGCTTTTCAATTTTTTAAAAAGGAAGTCGTTTGTTTCGCTAAATTTTGAGATTTCCCTCCTTCATCTCTGGTCTTCTGTGCTTCTTCGCAGCGTCCGCCACTAATCATAGATTTTGCTTATGGTTTTTACATTATCCCCATGTTATTAGCATTTCACACACACAAATCTAGTTGACTAGCTGTTACGAACACCCGTATTGATCGGTTGGCGTTGTGTGCGACCACGACTCGCTCCGCTCCATCTTTGCTATTCAAGTCTTTGCTTTTCCATTCCTCTTTGTTCTTTGATCCGCACTCAAAGGTTTCAACCACGTATTAGCACATCCCATTTTGTCTCAATTAACCTCAACATTACCTGCTTTTTCAAAAAATCAGAGGTCAAATTGATTATTTTTTTTTGCAGATACGACAATGATTAAGCCGAATTGCGGTGTACTGAAGGATGCTTCGAAATCGGCAAATACTTTGGTTGGTGGAGTTTGATTTAGTATTTGTTTGGTAGTATCTTTCACAAACTACCGTAATCACACTTACAGTAATTCAAAGGTGCTTTATCGAATCAACACTGCACTATTTTACAACAGTTTGCTACTACCAGAATATGCAGAAGTAGCTTTGAAGGCTCTCAAAATGTGGAACGTAATAATTTTTGATTCTGCTTTAAGTTCTTTCATTTAAAATGGTTCTTTTTTGTCACATCCCAGTAACTATCTTAACGACCCTCACCCCTATACTTTTCATTAAACATATCACTTATACTCATTGAACCTTCAGTTTACGATCATCTTGCTCGAAATGCAAAATTTTGATAAGTTTCCTCCTTTTTAATCTGCAGTCACTTTTTTTTATGATGCTCAATTTTCTAGAGTAAGTTCGATGAATTTTGCATTGTCTTTTGCAATTTTGCATTGCCTTTTGCCAACTCTATTCTCGTTTAACAGCTCGTCTCAATCGTTCTTACGAATAGAGATGCCAAGCAATCATGTAAAGCTGCTCAAGAATCCCCTTTGCATTTTGGCATTTTGTATCTCTTTGTTGCACCCACCAAAGTTCCTTCTTGTAGGGAGAACATAATTTTACTACAGTGAAAAATTTTGTGTTAAGCCCTTTCGTACCTTCGAAATTGCCTCTCTAACTGGACCCTCATTGCTCTTGAAATGAGTAGCTATCAACTTTCCTGGTTTCGAACACAGCCTTATGTCTTCTTTACTCGTCCATACTTTCACAATCTTATCTAACAAGGGAACCGTGTCGGGTCGAAGTGGCCTTTCCAGATGAGACCCATACTACATTGAAGAGCATTGATCGGTAATTCCAAGTCTGCTTTCCAAATCTGCCAAGCGCCTCTGGACGCCGAGTTATGCTCGTTTTTCAGGTCAAAAAATTGAACGCAAAACTGAAGCAAAATCGCCCAAATTTGCTCAAATGGTCCAGTGTGAAGTATCAGAGCTGTTTATGCAATGGATACATTTTATTTAATATGCTAATACTTAACATTGCTTTATCTGAGCGCTGGAAAGATTGTAACAATCAATTTTACCTAAATTCTGCATTCATTTTTCGTTCCGAAGAACGGTCATAACTCGGCGTCCAGAGGCGCTTGGCAGATTTGGAATCATCGCTTAATACTCTTCAAAGCAGTATGGGTCTCATCTGAAAAGGCCACTTCGACTCGGCACGGTTCCCTTGTAAGTTGACTTGTCTATCATCTATTCTACGACTAGGAGACGCGTGACCGCATTGTTATTGTCTTAACATATTTGAGTTTGTTCTTCCCTGTTTTCAAAGAGTGAATAAACCTGGACGCGATAAATGACAAGTATAAACCTGCTAAATACACTATGCAATGCGGTCCGCGTCTCTTAGCCATAGAATGAATGGTATCTTAACCTGTGCAAAATTTTTTGCAACCATCAAAACATGTCCCTTTCTTGGAGTTGGGAAATGCATAATTTTCTTTACTTCCTACTTTTCATTCCCAAAACAAGGATCTGAAAATTCTCTCAATCGCAGCTAGTCTCTGCGCAATTTAGCAAACTTTTTTTTGCTTTTCTTTGAAGAGCTTTCTTATATTCGAACGGTCATGCTTTATTGGTTCCGGAATGTCTTGTTCTGTCAAAAATTATGGTTCAGTTCCTCTCATCCATGTTCAGCCAGATTTCCTTCCTATTCACATTTGTCACTCAGATGTACAACTCCATTTTCATCATTATCAAGATTCAGCTGCGGTTGCTTTTTTTCTCAAATCGTCACATCTATTTTTGAAGCTCGCTCTGTTCCTGTTCCAAAGAGTTATTGTTTTCACCAGTTTAGTTTGAACATTCATTCATGCGCCGTTTTTGTGGTTCGTGAATTGTGAGCAAAAATGGAGGAGAACATGATCATTACAGTGCTTCATGAAAGCAAATAACGATTATGAATCACGCGAAGAAAGGGTGCATGTTTTCGTATAATTTACGTATCTAGACAAAACTCGTAACGACCCAAAAGCTTATTATAATCATTCTCACTCCTTCCCCGAAGCGAAATACTTCGAACAAATGTGTTAAATCATCCCTGTGGAAATGAGTGAAAAAACTTCGGTGTTTTCAGTCTAGAGTCTCTAACGCATGTTTCCGGCTCATTCTACAATGGCGTTGTCGTATCTTCATTCAGCCCTAGGAAATGGGTTGAGCATGGAAATTATCAAAAATTAATTTCATATGTTCTCTGTTCAGGTAAAAATTGGGCATTACTATCTTCTATGACGTTTCGCCACATGGGTTTGTTATAAGCTTGTAACTAACCTGTGTGGCAACATCATAGAAGATATTATGGTTGAATTTATAGAATGAAAGAAGGACAGTAATTGTACATCAAGTGAAACTGATTTTAAAATGACCCATTACCTGCTAGAATACTCCGATTTTTTTCATTTTTACAAGTGTGGGCGAGATAGAAGAGAAAATGTACTGAGAGTGGCAGTTGCAGAATGATGTTTTATTCTTAAAATTCTACCAAGTTACATCTAGCTTCCAGAAGTCATTTAAAACTTCAAGATTCTGTGTGATACTTGTGGTTATTTTCATTCTAAGACAACAGTTTTCAAAGAGTAAAAGTGTGTCTAAAATGTAGTTTCATGCTAATTGGGTTCTTTGTTAGAGGAAAGTGCTAGGCAAATCTGGGTATTTATTTCTTATATTTATACTGCTTATAAGCCTTTACCCAATCTAAGAATCTCTGTACTCAAACTTACTTGGAGTTTGCCCTCAGATTGCAAACTTTGTAATTTTCGGAAACATTTTTGTACTTCTAATTAATTGGCAATTTTTACAACTAAACGCATTAATTAGGGTATCGTCAAAAACGATCTTTTTGTGCTTTTCTTTGTGCCTATTCTGATCCACGTCCGTGTCCGAGCTCATCATCTTGTTGTGCTCGTATTTCGCGTAAACAACTTCGCTCTTTGCAACTCATATTGCATTTATACTGTTAACATGAGAACGCTGAGTCTTATCTGAAGTGAGTGTCTGGTTGTTCTGTAAATTTCACAAATATAACCCCTTAAGTAGGAAGAAATTTTCACAGTGTCTTTGTTAAATATCCGTGCAAAGAATAAGCATTATCGTTTAGTGATTAATTTTTACGAAGTCGATTTAGTCAAGAGCTGCTTGTGCTATAATTATTTTTTTCCAGTGGCACCCAGAAATAGCTGGTTTCATGCTTTTAGGCTTAAAAACTTTCGCACGCATCATTTATAGTTATTGGTCGGGCTACATTAGAACGAGTAGGCGTAAATCCTTGACATCAGCTTGACATCATTTTATATTGGAAGAAATAGTTACGGTTCTGGTCTTTTGGTCGCCAGACACTTCTCTCGATAATTTTTGTCATCTATACCATCATATTGCTTGTCTTTTAGACAGAAAAATCGTATTTAATTTTTTTTGAGATAGCTATAGGAATTGACTCGATATTCATAATTTTATGTTTTACTTGTCAAAGAACTTGCTCAGAAATTTATGTCGCGGAAAGGTATTACTGTGACAAGTCTTAGTGGTTGTAAGTGTTCCACAATTTTTTTTGAACATCATTCGAAATTGTTTTCAACAATCTAAAGTGACGCTCATTAAAGGCTGTCGCTCCACGTAAACGAGGTCGTCCACGAAAAAGAGACTATGATGAAGTGTCGAACGTAATAAATACAAAAAAAGAACCAGCAGATGAGACGTACAACATTCCGACATTAGCAATGCGGTCGCACCCTCGTGGATGCGCGAAGAAGAGAAGAACCAGTCAGTAGATAGGGTTTTGAATCTCTAATGGATTGCCTCGCTTTTTTATGTTCTAAAAATTCTTTGCTCCAGTTTCGTCGTTATCTTCAACTGGGAATTGTACGCCAAATGGTCGTAGACTGTCGGGCGCAGTTTCCGAATGCTCCCCTGCGGCAGGTTCGTGGAAATTGTGATTTGTGAAATCTGGAAGTAAATCATCGCTTTATAGGGTCATTGGCAAGTGCCAATGTATCATTATCTACGACCGACCTAAAATCATCGCGTTTGTCTGCTGCCGATGTTGAAATGGTAGATGTGCAAGGTAAAATAATATTTTTGCTTGAAAAAAGCAAAGAAAATTATTAAGTAGTAACAACAAAACAAAATCTTGTCAGTTCTTTTTAGGGGAATTCATATAAAATTTGCAAACATTCAGGTAATAAAAAAATCTCGCTGTAGTTTTTTTAGAATCTTCTATAAAAAAAACTTTTCAAAGGGTAAATCCATCTAACTATATATAAAGAATCGTTGTGCCTAAAAAGATGAAATTGCGGGAAACCGCGCAGCTCCTGCAGCGAAAGCGCTTGCAAATCTAGCACTTTTACGTCACTGGTTACTACTCGGCGCGGCAACATACGCCACCTTTAACATCTTAACTCCCCTTCAAAACCTCTTCTAGCTTAGCGTAATGTGCACGAATTTACCGGCGATGAGCAGGTTCTATTCGCAAGTCGTCAGGTAGCACGCATAATGTGCAATACACGTATCAAATTACAAGTTTTTTGGACACTAAATTTTTTCCTACAGATTGCGTTCTTATGATATACGAGGATATACATTTTCCTTCCATGAGAATTGACAAGCATACATTTTTTTACAGTCTTGTTCGAATACGGAACTGCGGCGTAGAGTTCGCGGGAATTATAGAGCGTGAAGCAATGAACAGCCTGTGCCAGTTACGTACTCTCCTTGCGTAGCAGTTACGCATCCGCAACGCGAGGGCCTTGCGTGCGGGTGCGTAGTCAACCTCCAGTTGATGAGGCCCAATTTAAATGCGCAAGCCGTACGCTCCCACATCTGGCGCAAATCTTCGACGTGGTGACTGCGCTGAAGGAAAAGGGAGTGCGCGATTGACACACTGTAGTCGTGTCTGATCATAATTTAGATTTTTTTTGATTAATTTGTATACGGGGGCAGCATTGTAGTTCTAAAAGCACTATCTGAGCAGATTCTAAATGTCCAGTTTTAGGTTGTATCTGGAAAGGTGCTTTTAAGCTAGTGAGGAATAAATTCTTTGTACATGATTGCTGGATAGAAGAAGTACGCCTGAGTTCGTGCGTTCAGCTGCTTTGGCCAATTAGCCAGGCCAGTTCTCGGATAGACAGAGGCTAGGCTAGACATGGGAATGATTCTTCCAAATGGATGGTCGCAAATCTTTTCTTGGAGCATTTTCGACTCTCAAAAGGGATTTGACGTTCCAACTTGCTTCAGAGCAGTGCTTCGCTAAGTGCATCCATATTAGTTCAAGTAGCAAGAAACCAAGGTCGCAGATCTGTTAAGATGTAAAGTCTATTAGATTTGACTGCTAACAAGAAGACAGCATACGCTTTGGCGTATTTTAAGGCACCGATCACACACCGAACGACCTCTGCCTGCCAAATCGCGGTCACCACACGGCTTGGCAAAGTGCCAGAAATCCACAAATCCCAACTTTTGGTGGTGGTCTATGGTAGTTTCAACTACGTAGGCACATGGCTACTGTAAGGTAATGCAAATATACCAAGTCTTGCTTGCACAAGATGCGTCTATGGTGGTTCATAAGCAATTGTAGAAACTCCAAGTCGCGCAGCGATCGGAATCGTGGGGAGGGGTGACCGGTGCCAGTATCCAACCCGCGTTTATGGTAGTAGATGCACAAAATATCGCGTGCACGAATTTTTCATAATTTTTTCAGATGTGTTTTGGTAATGTATACTGCACACACATCCTCATGTGTACAATAGCTATCCTTCTATGGCAGGCGCCATACTTGATCCGCTTGATCCGCTTGATCCACTTCATCCACTTCACTATTGGTTAGTTCACTGAATTGACCAATGATGAAGCGGATAAAGCGGATCAAGTGGATCAAGCGGATCTAGTATGGCGCGTGCCTATAGTGGCAGTTGCGCCGTCGTAAAAATATCATGCGAATCATTGCACCGAGAAAAAACGAGACCTGAATAAATAAAATAGAAAATTTACCTATGGGTCTAGACTACACAAATACGTATCAAGAATGAGAATGGATGTATAGACTAAAAATAGTACGTGACATTTTTCTGGTAGCATCCGGATAAGTACTTGGATTTAAGGAATAATGCTTTTTTAAGCCTTTTTGATTTATAAGGCGTCAGTCTCTCTTGATGGGCGCGCATGTTGTGCGTTGCACATAGAGTGTTAATTTTATTGTAGTTAGTTAAAAATAAAGGAAGTGTTTTGTATCCATGTAGAATTGTAATGTCAATGTTCATTCGGAATGATTATCGGAAAACATGTCGCGTTTGCGGGTAATCAAAACAGATAGTGAGGTAACTGACCGAGGGTTAGTTTGATAATACTAAAGAATTAACCATCAATCTTTGTAAAGGAAACAGTTAACCCTCGAGGATGTAATTCTTTTCTAGAGATCTGGGATTACTACATTGCACGTGCCGAATACCACTCCATTTTGTCGAAGTGCAATTTGAAGTGTCCACGGTCTCGAGGACGTCACCTTGGTAGAAAGGCAATAGTGGAGAAAATTCAACATTTGAAGCGGATTGAACAAAGTGTGAGTAATTCTTAGAAATTCCATGACCTTTACAATCAACCTTTACAATTGAATTTTTTTTTCAGCTGAAAAAAGGTGTGAAGCAAATTACAACTTACGAATTTTTCAACTATGTCAATCCGCTGTGTCCCGGTGAGTGAAATTTGCTTCATTGCATGGCTTTCTCTTCAGTCCTTATTTGATAGTTTTCGTTAATTGCAGATATTGCTAAGTGAGACATTATAGTTTGCTTGGAAAATACCTTTTCTCCAATTCTCTTACAATTTTTCATCTCTGAAAAAAATTATAGGTCTGAACGACGTCACGACAGACATATTTTTGATATCTTGCACGAAGGAGAAAATTTTTAGAAAGGTGCTTTTGCAGTTACTGCTTTCTGTTACGGCTTTTTTGCATTTGCTCTATGTTTTCTAGGATTTCCTTAGCCGAATTGTTGTACCCTGTAAAGGCCATCAACAGGAAGCGCCAGTTTTGTATTATCCTGTGCCTCCTGAGGTAGAAAAAAATGCAGTGTAAGTTTGCACCATGCTGTTTAAAAAATTTCTTGAAAATTTGGTTTAGAGACGTTTATCTCGTTGTGAAAGTTTATACGGAGCAAAAGTATCACTTCATTGGATCAGGTGAGCCACAAGTCTTTTGCTAGGTTGAGGTTGCTTAATGAATGCTTTTGAGCTCGAAGAATGGGGCGGTCTAGGGGCGACCATGAAGAAGATATAAAAGAAGCTCCTGTCGTTAAGGTTAGTGATCTTCTGTCCTGTTTTCCGCTGCAATCTTTTTTTGGGAAACTGTTTCTATGCTGTAATATCCTAACTAACATAAAGCTCCCTTGAGAGTGCAAAATAATGGATCTGCTTGAGTGCAGCTACAGAGCATGTTTACATCGTTCCCGCATCTACTAGGAACATGTTGGGCAGGTTTTCATCGGAGGGGATGAGGAGCTAGTTTGCCTGCTTTGGACGGCTTACTATGACATGTGCGCAAAGAACTTACTTCGTTCATCTATTCTGTGGTATAGGCACCTTGCAAGCATATAAACTGCAAGCTCTTCATTTGCTATGAAAGCTTCAGGTAGGCCCTATAATTGGTCAGCTGATTTAATCTTTGCCGTTATCGTCAGAGAAGAACATTTGGAAATTGCGAGCCAAACCCCGCCCGTATAGACGCGCCCCGCCAGCTCACGAATTACCCTTCAACGCGTTTTGTATAGCAAACACAATCAACACGCATACTATGTATTAGCGCCTTCGTTCGCTTCAGAATTTGGCAACGAATCACTCGTCCGCGGTTTCTGAAATAGACAGCCAAAGGATGGGTCTTTCAAAATTTCGTTGTTCAATTTGAAACAGAACCATGAGAAAGGCCGGGAATGGCAGAAACATAGGCGTCAAATTTTTGGGTCAAAGCTTCCACCTATAACAACTGGATTAGTTGCAAATTTTTGGAGATTATAAAGTGCGTCATTATTTATGGCAGTTCAGTTCAACGCTATCGCTCAAGCGCTTTGTCTAAAACTAGCTTTGGTGCGAAAAAAAAGACGTCGCGAGCCACGCCCCCTTATCAAGTGTCGCTCCAGATGCTGAAGCCTGATATAGTCAAAAGAAATTTTCAAATACAATCAAAAGTGAATTTGCTCCAATCAAGACCAAATTTCGATTTAGGAGTTTTCGAAGTTAATCATCTCTGTAGTGAGATTTGTTTGTTGCAAAGTCAACGTTCAGCACCGCTAACACTTAAACAAGATCAAAATTGGGATTCAGAGGTTTTCAAAACTTCTTTTTTCAAATCGAGACCAAAGTTCAGATTTAAGGGTTCACGAAATCGGTTTTCCCATAACATATATGTTTTGTGCAATATCAATAGCGATTTGATTTTTTAAACAATTTTTTGGAGAGAAATGTTTTTCTCACAGAAACTAAATAACTTCCACAGAATTGAAATGCCAGATGCAGGAATACGTATGTGATTGATTCCGTAGTGTTCTTTCCCTGAATTCAATCAAAAGAATATGTCAAGGTACAGCGCTGATAATGACCTAGCCATGGGTTTCTTGAAACCTGAAATATCAGAGGTCGCGGAGGTCATCGAGGCTGGCTCAATGCCAGGAAGCCTCTTAGCAGAGAGCCTAGAAAGATTCTTCCGCTATTTGTAAGAAAAATTCGGCCTTAACTGCTTTCCGCCCTTGTTTGCTTGGGGATAATTTTGGTCGTTATTCAAGGAGTGCTGATCGGCTCTCACTTCACCTTATATGTCTATGACAAACCTCCAATACGTAAATCGTAAATATGGTTGTCGCTGGAGGCAACCGATACGATTTTGGAATTTGAAGTAAACTCGGACCACTTTAAAATTTCAGAAATTTTGTTTGTAGTTGAATTTAACTTATAATCAGATACAAAGAATTTCCACACACGTGCCAGTTCAAGATTTGCTTCAATCTGTTTTGATTAGCCACAATTTAGTATGCAGTAATAATTCTCTTACAAATCCATGCTTAACACGTTCGCGACCGCGTGCATACGCGCGTATGCACGCCCTGACTCCCACTAAGCACTTTTATGCTTCACTTTTTCATGTGTAAACGAAACGTTCTAAAGTAACTTCTATGCAGTAATAATACTAGCGGTCCGACCTTACTGAACACTGGGCATTGCGGTAGCTGCTCAGGAGTCTAAATCGCAGATTTAATTTTTCGGTCCATTTTGATATGGTTCAAAACGGCTCGGTCGTCAACGTGTTAATATTTTTCAATAGTCCATTCATGAACTTTCGAAAACCCCTAAATCCGAAACATGGTATTGATTGGAGCAAATTCACTTTTGCATTTCGAATTTGAAAGTTTCTTTAAACTTCCTTTCAGCATCTGGAGCGACACTGGATAAGGGGGCGGGACTTGCGATGTCTTGATCTCTTGAGGAGCTCGTAATCGTAGCGAGCCCGGATGTGCCTGGCACGCGCATCACTTAGGTGCGAGAATATGCTCGGATGAAATACTCCCCGCACCACTGCAACACCTATGTGAAACTGAAATTTTCCCACTTTTTGTGCATACTTTTTGGGAACACTAACTTGTCCTCCTATAACAAAGTCAGTTCCACTTTGGAGTCCCCCTTCCTAGGCGCTGAGAAGATCGTGAACTGAAACCGAGAATTCCGGCCAATATCGGTGCAGTTCCCCATTATATCGTGATCATAACATTTGGAAAGAAACGATTTTACGCAGCGTTCAATCTTCATCTCATGATAGGCGAATGTCGTCTTTTTTTGACATAGCGTTAGCGCTCGCCTATGCTGCTTTTCGTGGAAATATAATCGTCTTATAGGACATCCACTTGCGAAGAATGATTTTTCTCTACAGGAGAAGAACCAAACTTTCTTTTGAAGAACGAGAATAGATTAAGTCTCGTTAATCGAACAATATTTTTGTTGAGACATCTCAAACCAAGACTGCCCGTTTCAAAATGTCTGCGTTGGCCCTTACATTCTATAACATCTATTTCAGAAACTGCTTTATGGAGTGCGAAAAGTGGCTCGCAAGATTAGTTCTGGGGTATATCCTGACTTTGGAAATCATACTGTAGTCTTAGTGTGAGTTTCTACAGGGATTAGTGAACATCTGTCATGTGACAAAAACTTCAGAAACAATGAAACGGACGGATTAGATGGTATTACGTTCAACATATCGGATGAAAAGTGGATGACAAATGTCACGCAGTTGGATCTTCTCGCTAGGATTGGACATGTAGGTTTTTTCTCTGCTGATCTGTTTATTTTTGTGGTCAAGGAAAGAAAATAACGTGGTAAACACAATGATTTTTTTTTCATCCGAATCGACCGAAGAGGATGTTTGAGGAAAGGGCTGAGAGTTTTTGACTTAACGAGCTGAGTGGTAGGCTTCGTGTAAATGACAATGTTAAAAACTTCAAGTCTCCTATCTGTCGCTCCTTCCTTTTCCCTCTTGTGGCGGTTTCGTCTTATTCACATTGCGAAACCGATCAAAAACTGGACTTCAAAAAAACATTCTCGAAGGGCTGGCCGTTTCGTCGTCGTAGTGATGTACGAATGGGTTTTTCTCAACTCTTTTTTTTTCGAAATCAAAATTACTGGTCCAAATTTAGTCCAGTAACGCAAGACGTGACTCACGGCTAAGATTTGGAAGAATTGCTTAAAAGATAGCTATTATGTAGTCTTCTTTTTCTAATGTGCAGCGTTACAAAACGTCTTTGCTTGTACTGATTTCACACTTTATTTTTCTGCTCTTCCTAAGAAGTTCTTTCTTCTAAGTTCGAGTTATTTGGTGTTTTTATGAGGAGAAGCAGGACAAGCGATTTTCGTCCTTACCTTCGGATTGCACTACGTCAAATACGAATTTTTTTGTCTCTTTTAGAAACTGTGCTCTATGGGTCCAATCGGTCTAATTAATTTCGGCATAAGCGACGAGCATGTTGACTTCGATTGGACAGCGGTGGAAAAAGTGATGGACGCAAGATTTAAGCGAAAAACGGAGCTGTTGAAATCTTCCGAGCTCACCGTCTGGTAAGTGCTAATCATGTTTCAAACTCTAAAAATTCAGCAGTGTTCAGGTACCATAACAAGAAAAATAATGTGCTTGACGAGCCACCGACAACAGCACGAGAAAGCCCATCGTCAGACAAGGAGAATCGCGTTCGCGTTTCTCCTCGGAAATCGCCGCGATCACCGCGAGCTAATACGATTGTCAAGTTATCTCCAAAGAAAAATGGCCAGTTATCGGTCCTTTCATCCCAAGGGCCCATGCTGCCAGATGATGATGTGCTGGATCGTGTACCAGGAACGATATGTCCATTTACGGGGAGAAAATTCGCACAGGTGGAAGATCTCGAAGAGTATCTGTGTACAACATATCCTGCTCTAAAGTTTGAGAAAAGCGTGAGTGCTTTGTCAATCACTTGAAATTCTGTTTTTGAGTCGATTTTTCTTTCAAGTCATGGAATGCATCGTTCCTGCATTTTCTTGTGTCAAGCGTCGTTACTCGTTCTATTTGGGAGAATCCGAAAGTACCCAAGAAGGAGAGGAGGTCTACGTCAGTTTTTTGCATTATCTGTCGTTCTCTCTTTTCTTCTCTTGTTTATCTTTTCATTGCTTTTCGTATTTTACTTAGAGATGTTGCTAGCAAAGCTCAGGCATGATTTTTCTTGATTCAGCAGCGTTATCTCACCTGAGCGCAAAGTTATTCATGCTCCACCTCCTGAAGTTCCTGTGAAGAAAAAGTACGAGTTGCCTAAAGCTCAAATGATTCCCTATGGAGAAATGTCATTTGTACCACCAACATACTCGCAGTGAGTTCTCTGACGTACCTATTCCAGACGTTTACAAAAGATTTTGTATCAGGGTTCCTGGACCTTCCTGCACAAAAGTGTACCATTCTGTCATTGAGGACACATGTGATTGGAAGGGCCATTTATCTGAAAGGGTTTGCGATTTTGTTTGCTTTGAGTGCTTTTATACATATTTTTCATTTCCTTTGTAGAACATTCGAGATTACATTGATGATACACCGCAGGAAAAAGAGTTTATGATACTTCACAACAAGTTCCGCGCTAAGTTTCGGCATCTGATTGTGGGGACAAAGCTTACGCTTGATTTTTACGTAAGTCTAGTGTTTAGATCCTCTATTTTGTGTCATTCTTTTCTCCTTTCCTTTCTTCTGGCCGGGTACCGTATATTATGTCATTACAGACGAGATTTGTCGAGACATGTGGTGCTGAGATGAAGAAGAAGCGCATCCGAGCCCATTGTGTGGCCAGGTTGACCCGGTTGGTCCAGCAGGACAAAATGACGCCAACCAACATGGCGACACTTACCCAGAAACTCTATGAATTAGGCCCAAATGAGTAAATTAAGTACAAGTCTTTCTAAAGCATGCACGTGTTAGTCGCTCATATGTACTTTTTTAAAGTCTATCTGTATGCTGCACTGCCTTGATGAGATGTTGTCATACTAGGGATAAGCAGAAAATTGGAGCAGCTCTCGGTGTCGTAGATATTTGTTTTAGCGGTAATGGAGGCAGTTAGATCCCATTTTAGCAGCGAAACAACGTACTTCTGCCAAACAAAGAAGACCTTTCGCAACATTATACTTCAGTTCCTAGGCACCTCCTCAGATATTAGTTTAGATTACAGTAGAAGAAGTTTCAAATTGATTCCTATGGCATTATCTTTGAGATCCAACCATGCTCGCACAACACAACAGCCAACGTTCCCTTTTGTGTGCATGTTTCACCTTTGGAGGGCTACAAGCAGCCTGTGTTATGCAGGAGCGCGGACATTGAAAATTGACTATTTTCGTAAGTTTTATGTTAACGCTGATAGCAATGCTTATTCTCTGTCTCAGTGGCAGTGTCGCTGTCCCTCGCGTCTCGGGTATCGCGCGGCAGCCTCGCCTGAACCTGCCACTGTCTGCGACATTGCCTTGAACATTCTGCACGCCTAAGCGGCGAAGACCGGCAGATGTGAGAAAATGCGCAGAAGATATAGGCCGTTAAAATGGGAGTGCAAAATCTCCAACGGCCTGATCCACGCGACCGCTCGCTTGGGCTTTGCGCCGCGCTCGCGAACGTATCCTCTGGACATTTTTCTACTCTCGCCAGCTTTGAACCGCTGCACAGGCATGAGCGGAGCTGACGCAGGGATTAGAGCCGCTGGAGCTCCAACACTTTTATTAAGACAATCTATACGCCCGCAGACGTGCAGGCAAGGCAGTCGTGGGCGGTTCGAGCCGCATAAGTCGCCAATGTCACCATTTTTGGCTGCCTTTGAGTCGCGAGGGACGTAGATGCTACACGCACGCTCTAGCGGAATAGGCGGCAAAATCTTTTTGCGTTTTCTTGTTTCGAAATCGGGCTTTTAGGGAGAAATTTTTTGGGATATTGTTCCTTTCTTTGATCATCATTCGAAGTTATCATTATAAGAGATTTTCGCACTTGTTTCATCCTTAAAGAGCTCATTATGCTAGGAGGTTGTCTAAGTTTTCGGTTTAGAAAAGAACTGCTTTGCCAAGAGCTGCATCTATCCAGTAGGTATTATGGTAGTTAGACCGTTACTGTCAAATTCTGCTCTCAAATTGCTTTCGTTGTTATAGTTTTGAGTTTGATATTTCTGTCACATAAGAATGTCGAGCTTGATCTCTGCCGAGGTTTTGTCATGAATTGTCTTCTTTCGCGATACTTCTAAAAGTCTTTGCTGCCACTTGCTCTATGGGATTTTCCTCGTGAAACTCCCATAGTGATCAAGAGCTGACAAATTTTCATGTGTATGTGTTTGAATGTACCTCATGCGTGTGTATGGCGCGACTGCCAGTTGAATTTGAACTTCTTTCGTTTTTCGATACCTCTTTCTAGCACACATTGAACTCGTTGGTATACTATATGTTGTATGTGGCTTTCTCTGTTTGTTTTCTCTTTTATTGTCATCAAAGAAAAGTTTATAGGTGCGGGGATTCTAACCTATATTATTATCTATATATATTCTAGGTTCCATATATGTGGTGTTCATCATTGCAGTGTTATAGCTAAAATTTGATGAGTGCTTTCTCATGATGTTAGTGAAGTTGTACTAAGTAAAAGTAAATATTTCTGAATTGATATTTATGATGAAACATCGTCTGTGCTTGAACAAGCTATAATCTTTGTGAATCTAAAAGTTTTTGGAAATTGTATATAACATATCTAAACTGATCCTTTGAGTCTTAAATCTTGATTGACTGCTCTGGCGCGATGAGAAAGCTTTCAGCAGCTTGGACAAAAATCGAGAATTGTTAGCTCTCTATTTATCGTACCATGACCAGTTTCTCTTTATTTACGACAAATATTAGGCCGTTACAAAAATTCGTTCCTTTTCTCGATTCATAATAAAAATATGTGAAATGAAGATAGGCAAGCATAACAGAAACTAATCAACGCAGCTTTTCAGCGGAGTTTTTCTGACTATCAGTCATATGGTCACCAAAATAATTGCCGAAATCCCAATCTGTATTTTAAACATGTCCAGCTTTAAAATTTCCATTATTTTCATTTGAGACTTTTGGAAGAGCTTTGTGAGCAGAGTATACAAAGTCCTTCACAATAATTTGTGCATCTCAAAAGTATTTCGAGATAATACTTCCCAAAAGTTTTTATTTTTGCGAAGTTTTGGAATGTGAAAGACTCAAAATGATTGTTATTCAACACTAATTTTAGAAAGCAAGGTCGGTTACCGCCTTTGATTATCGATTATCCATTTTGATTCTTGATTATCATATTCGCGTTACAGCTCGAAGGCATTCAAAGTTCAAAATTATAACAATATATATCCCCGAAGCATTGGAAGAAGAGTGCTTATCAAGAAGAGGAGAAAAAGTGCATTGAGTGCTATTCTTGTTAGTCCCCGTGTTCGTTGAGGTTTGGGTTGACCGAATTTGGAATTTGAGTAGTATCAAAGAGAATTTTGGAATAGTTAGTCAAAGATGCAAGAAAATGCATACCAATGCACATTGTCGTCTCTGTCCACTTGTTGGCAAACCTCTTTACAAGTCTTAGATCAAAATTTGAATACCATTGTTAATATGAGCAATAAAAACAATGGCGAAATGTTGGCAATTATTGAGGGGAAGGAGGAACTACTGGAAAAGCATAAATGCTGAAAAGAGGGAAAAAACTGCAATGAATAATGTTTGCAATGTTTTCCTATCTTTATCTCACATGTTCTTCTGTTAGATCGAAGAAACGAAAACAGCTTTTGAAACGACCTTATACAGGGTGTCCCAAAAGTATGTATACACTGTTTGATCGTTAATATCTCTTTCCAAGGGAACTTTAGTCTACCTCCGGGCATCATTTTGTAGAGGCTTCAACTTAGATTTACAGTATGGAGGGAATCACCCATCGCTCTTCATTACTGTAGGATTACGGTGGAAATAAGAAGGGTTGTAAGCCATTAAGGGCCTATTGCGCATCATAAAGCAAACCAAACATTCTGAAAAGTTGTATACTAGGCTAATTGAGCCGATAAAACCAAATATGAAGTTTCACTTTACCGCAATGCTTCGTGGCGATACTTGTTTCTAAAATGCTCCCTAAAATTATGATTATACCACTTAAAAAGCTTTGCAGACTCTAAAAAGTTGAGTTATGAGATCAGCGCGCGTGAAAACCCTGTGCACCGCTTTTCAGATTTTTTGGAAACTTTTTTCGAAACACGATTGATCCACTATGATGCTGTAAGCTGAAATTTTTTCACCATGATCCTACAGTAATAAACAGTGACTGGTGACTCGTTCCACACTGTAATCTAACAATAAGTTGCCAGCTCTACAAAATGGTACCTAAACGTAGGCAAAAGACTTTCTGGGGAGAGAGTTATTAACGATCAAACAGTTAATACATACTTTTGGGACACCCTGTATTTTTGAGAATGTGAGATGCTGCGTGTGCTTGAGCCTTTGAAAAAACTGTTATTCAATTGACATCAAGAGTTCGACAATTTGGAAATGTGCGTCCCCTGATGGGTACATGTTCGTGAAGTTTTGATTCAGCCGGAACTTTTGAATTATGCACATTCTGCCAAAATACCCTAAAAAACCCATTCTTTGAACCAAAAGATTAAACATAGATGACTGAGGTTTTAAGAAGCTATGGAAAGCTCATAAATCAGACTCTGAGGCAAGGCAGGAGTTCATTTGGTATTTAAAGGCGCCAAGGATTGTATTTCAAATTAGTGGAAACAGTGATATATTGTTATTTTTAGTTCTTCTGCAGAAATAGAAAAAAATATGTATCAGCCTTTTAAAATGAGAGCTGACTGAGGGCACTTCCAGATTATGTAATGAGTTCGTTTGCAATTTACTAGTTTTTATTTTTGGGTAAGAAACAATCCGATGTTTATGTGGGTACAGTTTAACTTTTCCGCCAAACCTGGACTTCCGCTGTTCACGCCTAACAGGACTGCTTTTATTGGTCACAGTGCGATAAATATCTATATTACTAAATTGCAATATAATGTTGCCGAACTTGAGCACTCTTGAGAAAGATGAATTGAAAAGAATCTGACGACCTTGCTAGTGCTCATGTCGTTGGGTCACGACGTAAAATATGAAATTCACTACATTGTCCTCTTCCACATGCACCGTCTCAAAGTACTGACCGGAAATCCCGCAAACGTTTGGGGAAGTTCCGCTGGGTCACCTGCGGAGGTTCCGTAAGCGCTGAAGTTCCGAAGAATGCGAATCACAACAGCAAATGTGAGAACACCTGTGCGAGATTTGGAGCTTACTCTATTGACTGCGAGACTCACTATCTTCTGCACTAAGGATGACATGTTCGATAATGTACTCTAGTTGTTGGCGAGGCAACATCATATTAGACAACACTTCAAAACGCTGAGGAAGTACTGGCATGTCAAAATGCTGCGGAACCGCTGACATTTTTCGGAAGTTCCGCAGCGCTTTGTATAAAGCCCTACAGAAGTTCCTGCTTTCATCCAGTCTGCCGTGAAAATTCGTGCGGAAGCTCCATTCCCAAGATTCTCACTTTTGTAATGGTAAACAAAGTCCTGCGGAAGTTCCGGGGGATTGCCCGAGGTGTTAAGGTTGGTTGATATGGAGGCTTTACCATTTTTATAGATGTCATCTGACATGGATCAAAGTGTGCTGACAATCTCTGTTGAAACGAAAGCAAATGATCTGCCATTTCCACGATTTGGCCAACCGCAAAGGCTCGGCGAGTATACTGTAAGCAGTAAAGTTCTAAAATTTCTCTCGGGTGAAACTATTAGGTTGATGCACAGTTCTTGCACCAAAAAATAGAAAAAAAATCATTAACAAAGTGCTCAAAGAAATTACTGAATTTGTTCCTTGTTATGTATATCAAAAGTTTTTATAGCACTCTTAAAAAAAATCATAATGAAACAAAATCAATAACTTGATTCTAAAAAATCGAAAAGCATAACTATTTCTAAAGACGTCCAGTCACTACCAAGTCCTCTCAGTCAAAAAGAATAGGTTATAAAACCGAGATCAGAAACGAATTTAATTTTCAGTAGTCTTTTACCAACTAAAACTTAAAAAATCACTTTTTGGATATCTATCTTAATCTGCTTATATCCTTGCCATGGGCCCTCAAGGATTTTCAATTTAAGCATGTGCTGAAAGTGCAAGATTTTCTCTTTCTATCATGAATTAAATCAAAAGATTACGCTGAAGCTGGGAATGTAGCAGAATTCCGAAAATTTTGGTGCTAGGATTATGCATCAACTTGATATTATTAAACTACAATTTTTTCACAATTGCCAGGTGACACGCGATCGACAATTGGTGCCAGGCAGAGAAGACGCAAAATATTTGTACGAAGCTGCATTGGCTGACGGCGGAAGAGTGAGACTCGATTTGAATCAGGGATTTGATACATTTGAAGAAAAAGTAATACCTTTGGTTCGAAAAATGTGCAAAAATTCCGCGCTGCTTGCAGGAGGGGGACGAAAGGCTTGACATTTTGTTGGAATGGGTTGTTTCTCAAGCACCTCGTGGTGGTCCCTTGAAAAAGGTATATAAGTAATAATTTACTGAATTTTTGCGAAAATTTTCAAGCTTTAGGTGCTCCATGAAGCTGATTTCGTTTGTTGGAGAGGACTATTGACGCGGATAGCCGCTACACCGTTCTGCCCTAAAGATTCTTGGGAGTTCGTTGCTGCTCGCATTGGTGGTGTAATTTTTCTGTGTGAAAGAGAAACAGAAGAGACCAGGATAAGGTAAATATGTACTTTATTACAAAATTTACATTTTGATGCTAACTTTGTGTAGGAAGCAATCCATGTCACAGCGGGAGAAGATGATGACATACTGGGGTTTCAAATTCGAACAGTATATGACTGTGACTGAGAAAGATGTGAGTTCATGACGACACCTAACTTTGTTTGACTGCGCTGTGGAATGACGCGATTTTGCACAACTTCGGCATGGGAAAGTTTTGTGATTATTTACGAAATGTAAAGTTGTTTCGTAAACAACTATCATCTTATTGGACCACGAAGTCTACAGGTCCCAAGAGTGCAAAAAATTAGAAAAAATACTGAACTGGGAAAAAATACTAGACCCGAACATGGAAATGATATGATCAAGGGGTGGTGTGGGCCACCGGTATCCACATCGCTCCTGGCGGGAAAAGTGCGTGGGCCACCGGTGGTCCATATCGTGTCAATGGGTCAAGCTCACGGATCTAGTAACATGTTTCTTTTTGGGAGGTGAAGAAAAATTTGATTTTTGTTTTGTTTTACACTAAAGAAACTTACTTCAACTAACATAAGTTGGTTTTTAGTTGAACTTGAATAGATTTTATAAGCAGCAGTCTATATGTATACCATTTACGAGGAGTTTCGCAAATCTATAGTGGACTTTTTGTGTTGATAGTACGAGACCCCCCCCCCCCTTGCCCTTGAGAATTGGTTGCGAAATTTTTGGAAGTGAACTACATGAGTTACGAAGTTCTGTCATAGCTTTTTTCTGTGGGTAATAAACAACAATTTTCTAATTATCCAAAAAACTGAAATTGGCCTTGTGTACGCTCCTGTTAACATTTTGGGGATAGGCCTAAAAAATTTCAAAAAGCGACAATCAACTTTAACTCGTAATAATTTTTAAGATTTGGCTAACCCAGTCCCCTTCTGAAATTATTCCGTCGTTCACCCCCCCCCCCCCTCACTGGTACATCACTGGTACGATTTGGTAGCTTTACCTGAAGATCTCTCAAGCAGCTTATATAACTCCATTCGTGTCAAAAAAAATTCATTACGCTCAGACCGTATACCCCAGACATTGATCGGCCCGCTCATAGAAAGGTACGGTACTGGGCGAGAGTTCAGATTTGCGTTTTTTCGACCACGTATGAGACATATGAGCTGCCGCGTTACTAATGGTCTACATTTGACTACCTCATTGAGTTTCACATTTTATGGCCCTAGGTGCTAAAATTTGAGTTTTCACATATCAAGAAAGCGTTCCTATAAATCGCGTTTTTGTGAATCATCAGATTACCTTATAGGATCAGCCAAGGACAGATGATATCGTCACCTGCCGTGAAGAATTTGCAGTAGTTGTTCGTTCTACTTTGGCAGCCACGACTGGCAAACCTTTAAAATTAGTTTACAGTGGTGAAGTGGACGCAATTAATGCAGGTGATTTATTTAGTTTAGCGTTAGGGAAGGAAGAGTTTATTGATATTTGTTTTCAGAAGGCGATATGGTAGAGTTAAAAACTCAGCGACATGCTCTTGAGGGTTTCTTCTGGAAACAGAAAAGTCTAAAATGGTGGCTGCAATCGTTTCTACTTGGTATTCGAGACATTATTGTAGGATATCGTGATGACGATGGTTTCGTCAAGAAAGTAAGGAGAATTGAACCTCCCCCCTCCCTCTATTAGCCCATGCTAAAAAATGCGTTTAGGTTGGTTTTGTGCACACGGATGAACTTTGCAAACGAGGCGAATGGTCTGGAAATATTTGCATAAATCTCCTTTCGAGTGTGCTTACATCGGTAATCACCTCAGAACTAAAATCAGCTATTCTTTGATTCAACTGACTTGGCGGCTGGAAGGCGGAGCTTCGTGATTTAATTAAGGCCAGTGATAGTGATCAAAGAGCATGCGCGCGAAAGAGACGCAGACTGGGCGTCTCGCGAGGGCGCGAGGGCGCGAGCGGCTTCAATTGGGTCACAAAGCCCCGCCTTCCAGCCGCCGCCAAGCCAGTTGAATTAAAATTAACGGTTAAAACACCTAAAATTTTTCTTTAGGTTCGTAGTCTGCTTGAACGTGATGGCGAAGCATGCATTGTTCGATATATGCAAAATCGTAGTAAAATAACAATACACTCAGCTGCATTAGCTGATGTAGATTTTTTTACTCATAACTTCAGGGTTCATTTTAATCTTGAGTAAAAAATCTCATTAGGTATCACAGCAATTTCCTACACATCATTGTGGATTAAAGTGCTTCTGACTCGTACCTAGTGGAAAAGTCTGTTTTGTTGAAACTAGAGTTTTCTATTTGTGTTCTAAATCTGTGCCTTGTCAAATATCATGGTCCTCGAACTTGTTCCTATCGTTATCGCGGTTGTGCTTATATGGATTTATTTTTGAGGCCTTGATCTCAGCTATTGTTATGCTCATGCTTTTTTTGACCTGTTACGGCAAAACTAATTCTATCGTCGTCTCCCCGCGATAGATGGGGCGTGTTGTCTGCAAAGTCCGTAGATGTGCGTGTTTTGTACGGTGCTAGCCGGCGTGGCTTTGCCAACGTTGTCAACGTATGCGCGTGGCAGTTTTGACACTTCGAAAGTACGAAAACTAATGTTATATGATGAAGATTTAACAAGTATTTAGACGTGGCATGTATACACATGACACGCCATGGCTAATACCATACGAAATACGCATGTCTACGGACTTTGCAGACGACACGCCTCATCTATCGCGGGGATGCGTCCATAGGTTCTTGCACCAGCGCTATTCCAGAGCCGCGCTGGACTGCGCCTGAACGCCGATCGATGAGTCGAGGCACGCGTACTTGAGTTCTGACACGGCATTAGCCGGGCAGCACACTGCCTTACAAAGGAAGGAAGGTTAATCGAAGTTCCCTTTCTGTATAAGATGTATACTGACTTTGAGAGTATGAAATGCTAATTCCAAATCTACTTTAATTATGTCAGCGGGATTCTGAGCAAGAAGTTGTGAATTTTTTTATAGGCAAAAAATTCAGTGCATGATCAGTGTGAAATTAATACGTTGACTTTTCTTAGTTTCCAAAGTGGCAGAGTCACTGGATATGTTTGAATCAAGAATACCTATCGCAATAAGTAAACAGAAATTCATTTGAGCCATAAGAAAAATGTTATGACTGATTGTATTCTAACTGCACATGCAAATTTTTGCTCATAATAACCTTCGTAAGTCCTCACTCAGAAATCCGCAGACAAAGAAGGTAAATTTGAAATCAGCATTTCACACCCTTCAAGGTATCCATCTCATAACAAAAGGCCTCTTCGACTAACCTTCTTTTCCTGTTAGTGCGTCTTCGTTTTGTCGTTACCTTACTTCCTTACAATGTATGCATAAGTTTTTAGTGGAAAGGGCTGTACACTGTGCTTTCGATTTTTGAATTCAATATGTGAGAATAAATAATTTATTTTGAATGGTGGCAAGTGATTAACTTGAATATCTTTCGGCGTCTGAATGTTGAATCATTGAATAGGTGAGGCCATGTGCTGGATTCAGAAAAAGAGGCAGCATAGTGCTAGCGTTATTAGATGAAAGGACCCTTAAAATTGCGATCGCTCTCATAGTTTCTCTGTATTGTGAGGTAGGAAAATCGAAGAATTGCAAGAGCAGCTTTATGCAACATCTGCTAACCATGAAGACCTAAACTATCTTATATATAAAGCTGAATGTCTGTTTGTATGTATGTCTGTCTGTCTGTATGTATGTCTGTCTGTCTGTCTGTCTGTCTGTACGTATGTTACGAATAGAAAATTCCATTTCTGAACCGATCCGGACCAAACTTGGCACACATACACTACGGGCTCCGGCGGGCGTCATAGGCTACTTTTCGTCATCGATCGATATCGATTTTATCGATTTTTTGCAAAATTTGAGCTACGGGGCTGGGAGTTGGCCAGGGGGGTAAGTGAGCATGGGGATTACAAATACATTATTAGTTTTTAATTTAAATATTTAGTGCCACATCCACTTAAAAATGAGATCATTTGTAGCCGAGGTCCGGCACATGTCGAACAATTTCAAATACGAATTTTCTCATGACTTCGCACAGTCATTTCGCGGTCACCACCAAGGTTCTATGGGCGGAGCTTGCCTGACGATGGGCGGGGCCTGGCCAGAAGTTGCTTGAGTCTTTGCGTTCATCTACGGCCTCATCCATGCTTTTTATGAAGATGAAGGGTTTGTGTGGAAGGCATAGGAGTGGGCAGAGTTCGCCAAAAGGGGCGGGACTAATACATGAAATACAGAAATACATCTGAGCCTATGTTGATTATATAAACAAAAACTTAGAAGATTGGACAGATAGTATTGAAATAAAGGCCGCCCGCGGCGTCGTCCACAGGGGCAGACTGCCTGCCGCGCACCATTGCGCGGCACTGTCGTCAACGTGTTAAACCCTGCCCACTGCCAGCTCCGCAGCTCAAGTTTTGCAAGGTATTGGTGAAATCATAATGGTAATCGGTAACTCCAAAAAATAATATCGTAGTTGAATCATCATGCTCACTTAACACGATGATGATAATCATTCCTTTGAGCTCAACTTTGCATAAATCGATGGAAATCAATAAATATATTCATCAATAATGAAAAGTAGCCTACGACATCTGCCCCCCCCCCACCCCCGAATAAAGGTTACTTCCAAAATTCGTCGCGAAATTGGTTCCTTTTTCTAATATTTAGACGAGGTGGTTATTTCAAACTCCCTACCCTACACCCTACGGTACCCTAAGTTCAAATTCCCAACTTTTAGTTTGTCTGTCAAAAAGGAGAGAGGATCTGGTTTTCAATATCTTTCAAATGTGTGCTTAACCTCAATCTTAAGCTGACTAGTCTTCAAGACCCCTTGGGCAAGAAAAAACAAAGACAAAGGGCTACAATGATAGGAGTCTGTACAAAAGACAGCGATAAGAGATCTGGCTTGCAAGCAAGGAAGATCAAGTACAAGGTTTTTGAACCGATCGAGACAAAAAACTCTAAGAGCCAAAGCCCACTTTCGAAAAGATAAGAATGGTTACTGGGAACATGTGGAGAAGTTAGCAGTGTGGAAGCTCTTGTCAACATTGTTTGGTCATGAACATGGTTCCTTCGAATAAATAACAGCCTAAGGACGTACGAATCCAATAGTGAATTCTCCACTCAACCGTCTCCCGAAGTACACTCCAATATCAAGCTGCTTTTCACAAGAGAAGTATGGTTAGTCGAAGTAACCTTTTGAGATAAGATGTGTAATATTTTGGTGAGCAACGCTAATTTAATTCCCCGTTTTTCTCTGCGGAGCATTCCTGCATGAGGAGTTAGCGTTTTTAGGAGCAAAAAATAATAATCAGAGCAGTAGATTATATGTCCTCTTCTGTTTGAACCTCGGCATTGATTTGATGAAGTGTTAGTTGATACATATGCTAACACGAGGTTTTTTGGTGAAGCTTTATTAGTAGAGTGGCCTTACGTTTCGACACCAATCGTCGTCTTCAGAGGCCTAAAGTGGAGCGAGATTGATGCACCAAACGCCTTGTCGACCCCGGCTAGTATTTAATCCCCTCTATGATTTTACAAGTAAAGGCTCCCAAAATGGAAAGACGAGCTGAAGGCATGTGGTCATCAATCTCGCTCCACTTTAGGCCTCTGAAGACGACGATTGGTGTCGAAACGTAAGGCCACTCTACTAATAAAGCTTCACCAAAAAACCTCGTGTTGGCATATGCATTAACTAACACTTCATTAAATGATCAGAGCACTTTATGCAGTAAATACTTGCTGGTAGATTATATCCACCCTCCACTCCCTTATTTGAGCTTTAAAAAATTTTAGCAATTCATTTTACTTCGGAAAAATACAATTTTTTGCTCAAACGATCATGACTTCTCGTTTTTGATCCGCAGATAGGAAAGACAGATTGAGATCAAGCGTTTTATGTTCTACAAAATGATATACGCACTATCCTACAGTGCTGGACAAAATTATAGGTCCACTCTAAAAAGTGCCATAACTCACTCTGTTGTCAATAGAATATTCCAAAATTTGGTACAGCCGTGTGATTACCAGCCTACTATCAGTCATCAAAATGGGTCTCGTTTTTGTTTGGTTATTCAAAAAAAAAATTGAAAATTTTGAAAAAAGCAGGCTTGAAGGTTGGACAAAATTAAAAGTCCACCTGGAGTTTTTACCGATTAAAGCATTTCTTAGCTCCCGAATTTTTTTTAGGTAGGTACAAATCTAAAAACGTTAACAGCTGCTTTAGTCAAGCTGTGTCATACCTCCAAAAAGAACTGTTTATCTGCTTTTTTGCCTTGAAAATGCTTTCACATATATTTCGCTCCACAAACCTGCGTTGAGTAAGAAATTCTGCAGTTTCTCAGCTGGATCGGAAGGGACGAGGTTTTATATACCTTCTGGATGCTTTTTAACGTGAGCATTAAGTAAAAAAATCGACTTTTTGCTGCTGAAACAAATCCGACATTGACAATACTGCAATCCTGACCTCAAATTTCTGCCTTCAAACTTCTTTTGCAGTGTTCTCAGAAGCATTAAGTAAAGTAAAGGTATTGTTTCTACGAAGGGGAGTCCGTATTACATGGTTGCAACTTTCTAGAGATCCTAGCATTTGAGTATAATTACTGAATTCACCCTGCAGAAATTGATTACGACAAACACCAAAGCTATTTCTGGTTCCGACCAAAATTTTCAGAAGAATCATGTGCTAACATACACTACAACTGTATCCACTATCTAATGAATAATTACTGTCAAAAATCCAAGTGAGGTAGCACTTGGCAAGCTATTTTGGATCTGCGTCACACCATCATTACGTTGCACTCACAACTCAAGCTTCGAAAAAGAAGCAAGGCAGCTTTGTGGACACTTGCGAGTATGGCGAACAGTTTTATTGCTGTGTAAAGAATGCTTCTATAATATCTTGAGGTTATAATGACAATGCATAAAGGGTTTCAGGGCAGAAACTGAGGCTTACTCTTCCGATTGAGTCGATGTCGGATTTGCTTTAGCAGCAAGAAGTCGGATTTATTCCCCAATGCTCACCAAAAAGCATTTAGAAGGTAGATAAATCCCCGTCGCTTCCGATCCAGCTGAGAAACTGCAGAATTTCTTACTCAACGCAGGTTTGTGGAGCGAAATATATGTGAAAGCATTTTCAAGGCAAAAAAGCAGATAATCAGTTTTTTGGAGGTATGACACAGCTTGACTAAAGCAGCTGTTAACGTTTTTAGATGTGTACCTACCTAAAAGAATTTGGGGGCTAGAAAGTGCTTTAATCAGTAAAAGCTCCAGGTGGACCTACAATTTTGTCCAGCCTTCAAGCCTGCTTTTTTCTTAAATTTTCACTTTTTTCTTGAATAAACAAACGAAAGCGAGACCCATTTTGATGACTGATAGTAGGCTGGTAAACACACGGCTGTACCAAATTTTGGAACATTTTATTGACAAAAGAGTGAGTTATGGCACTTTTTAGAG